TCTCTAGCTTAGAAATGGGAGCTAAAAGAGTTTCCTTTAAGAAAGAGATGCTAAAGAAGGGGGACAAAAGGAAGGACCATTCCGTATATCAGTGGAATATATGTGACACACAAGCAGAAGGAAGAACACTGGTGAATGGAAGGCAACCGCTGGAGGAGGAGGAAGGCAACCGCTGGAGGAGGAGGAAGGCAACCACTGGAGGAGGAGGAGCAGAGGATACAGGAGAGGGAAGCAGAGAGGAGCATTAATTTTGTTAGAGTATAATGACATATGTTTGACAATGCTGCAATGAAGCCTATAAATATGGATACTAATGTTTTTTTTTTTTTAAGTTACAAGGACTGGAGAGATGGCTCAGCAGTTCACAGCACTTCCTGCTCTTCCAGAAGACCCAAGTTTAACTCCTAGCACCCATGTCAGGCAGTTCACAAATGTCCCTGACTCCAGCACCAGAGGATCTAAAGCCCTCTTCTGCCATCTGCAGGCACTATCCTCATGGACACACACACACACACACACACACACACACACAAACATATACATAATTTTAAAAACATTAAGAGGCACAAAACCAAACCCTCTGTCACATAAATGTGTTGTCACTAATGAAATCACTAAGACAAAATATGTAGCACCTGCCTCCATTCTCACATATCCAAGATGGAGGGCCAAAAACAATTAAGTTGCTCTTAAGAGCTCCCCATGACCCTGGACTCAGAGCACTTCTGTTTTACACAAGTATACCCCTAGGTATGTAAAAATTGTCCAAAGTGTACTTCACAGGAAATTGAGATGCTCAATTCACCAGTGCACTGGAAAATGCTTACCATGATCAGATGTGAAAGCAATAATTGTGTTGCTGGTTAGATGAAGATCATCTAAAGCACTCAAAAGATGCCCAACCTCAGTATCCAAATAGGACACAGAAGCAAAGTAGCTCTGGCGAATTTTCCGCTGCAAATGAAAAAAATACAAGAATGAGAGCAATTTTAATTGCCTTGGCATACAATGACAATAGCTACCTGAACATCTATCCCAATCTCAACCTCTCCATTGATTGATGATATTCTTAGCCTAAACTTAACATTCCTTTTCCTACTTTCTGTAGCCCTTTGCCTACAGAGGCCAGACTAACAATCTGCAGGACCAAACTGACATATTTGAAAGCAAATCAGCCTTTACTTTAGTAAACATGTCATGACAAATGGTGGTCATTAACTGTTCCTTTCTGTCTTTCTCCCTATTCTAGACAGTCTCTAGAAATGAACATCTAAACAGAAAATGATCCCTTAATCCTTGCATTCACAGGGCCACACATTATCTGATTAGGAGTATGCCAAAGATACCACTCAGCTCCATTCAAGCCACCAGGTGACTTCAAACACTAGAAATACCTTGTCTCCTAGCCATGGACTCCAGAAGGCCTAAATCAAGGTTTGGGGAGTGCCATTTCTGAAAGGTCTAGAGCAGTGGTTCTCAACCTCCCTAATGCTGCAATCCTTTAATACAGTTCCTCATGTTGTGGTGACTCCCCAGCCATAAAATTATTTCATTGCGACTTCATAGCTGTGATTTTCCTACTGTTATGAATTGCAGTGTAAATATCTGCCTTTTCCGATGGTTTTAGGCAACCCCTGTGAAAGAGTCATTCAACCCCCAAAGGGGTGAGACTCACAAGTTGAGAACCACTGTTCTAAAGCTCCCTGCATTTCTTGGCTTGTAACAGTCTTGCAATCTGTCTCCATCTTCACACACAGCTCTTCCTGAATCTGTTTCTGTCACTATCTTCCCTATGTGACCTCCTTATCAGGACTACAGTCATGTTATGTTGGGCTAGGGGCTTACCTGAATAGTATGACTACATCTGAACTTAAAGCAGGCTACATTCTGAGGCATGAGGACTGAAAGAGTTCAATATATCTTTGGTGGAACACAAATTAACCCCTAATAATGACCCTAAGTAGGGCTCTCCTCTAGCCACTTTCTTACTCAGTAGGAAATGGTAATTGATTAACTTCATGGATCAAGGTGTCAGAGTGTACAGCTCATTTCTAACAAACTCTTAATGGGCAGAAAGATAATGAAGGACAACCCAAGAGGAACTGCTTAGAGTGCTAGCCTATAACCACAAGTACAGAAGCCATAAGCCTTTCCTGAACTAACTCCTCAATTATTGTCCACAAGCCTTAAGGAAAATATTTTGTCCCTCCCTACTACCCCCAAGCAGGAAGAAACAACAGAACCACTTACTAGATCAGCCCCATCTTCTACCATCCTCAGGGCCCCTGCCTCATGAGATGGACCTGTGAGATGCTACTTGTCACTACTAGGGTAAGGGCAGTCATGAGACTTGTCCCTTCATCTGCTTGCAGTGACAAACACCTATGCTTATAGAAGGATTATGTTGAACCTCTGCCTACATATACTTTTTAGTAAATAAACTTTTCAGTCTAGAACCTGGAAAACTTCAGTTCTCCTAGGGATCAAGATACCTCTTGCCTAAGCCAGTTATAGAAAGAAGGCAATAAAGAAGCAGGTATGATGCTCAGACCTATGAAGACAGGATACAACTACAGATAGGTAAATATACACATTACCAGAAGGGCCAAGTTTGAAGAAGAAATAGTACAACTACAGATAGGTAAATATACACATTACCAGAAGGGCCAAGTTTGATACACGCAAATGAACCTTCAAATTAGTTGGCCTGCATAAATCAGGGAAGGCTTCACAGAGGAGTTTCCATTGCTATCACCAAATATGTGCAAGATGCTAAACCAACAGCTGTTTTGCATACAACAGAATGGAATCATGGAATAGCAGGGCATATTCCGAGCTATGGAACAACAAAAGAAGGCAAACAACAGAAGGTTAGGGCCAGATGACATAGACTTAGAAGTTCTTCACAGGAGTGAAAGTCTCAGGCTGTGGGCCAAGGAAGTCTTTCAAGACATAGAGGTAATATAATATAGGCTGCAGGTTAGCTAAAGTACTGTGGCAACAGCAGCACAAATTCTAGGAGCTTAAGAGAAAAATAGCACCAGGCCACTGCCGGCATCTAAGAAGAATTCAGCAACTTGCTAAAAGAAAATCTGAAAGTCATGGTGTGTGTACCTGTAATCCTGGCACTTGGAAAGCTGAGGCAGAAGGACTACTGTGCATTTTTGTTAACCTGGGACTACAGAGTGAGAACTTGTTTCAAAAAATGGAGAAAAATTTAAAAAGCAAAATGTACTACAGTGGTGCAGAAAGATGTGTTCACATCAGAGAACAGGGCAGACCTAAGAGGAATTTGGGGAAATCAAATAGGTGTGGAGACATGCTGTCAGAGGAAGATGAGAAAGCCAAGAGTGACGCTCACATTCAGCACCAGAATGATTTGCTGCTATTTGATAGGAGGAGACACAGTGGAAGAGGAAGTAGAAAAGGCAGAGTAGGAGTGGTAGCCTAACCATGTGGAACAGAACAGAACCGGGGTCTCCACGATCATCTGCCTGGGAGTAGCTCACAGAAAGGTAGACATGTGTGTCTGAAAGTCCGGAGGGATGCCTAGGCAGGAGTAGTCCTTGGATTAATCTAACAACAGGGCTCAGATGAGGCTAACTGAGGAGAATGGGAAGAGAGGCAAAGGTTGGGGACTGAAATAGATCAAGGAGCAGCACCTAAGAGGTGGACATAAGAGGACCCTGCCATGTATACTGAAATAGAGAGGGGCCAAGAAAGGTTGGCAAGGAAGACCAGAAGAAGTAAGATAGCTCCAGATTGGTGAACAGTGAGAAAGTAGCACTGAACTCAAGGAAAGTAAAGACTCAGAAGATAGATTCTGCCAACAAGGTCTGCCACAGTGCTCCAGGAAGGCAAAAATCCATACAGACAAAGATGTAGAACAAATGGACCAGGAAGATCACAGACGTAGCCAGAATAGGCTACTCTTCAGTGCCCTCAAACAGTAGTTGAGGGAGCAGAGCAGCATACAGAAAGAGAAGAGAAAAGGGCTGAGGTGAGAGAAATGATGCTTCTGAAGATAGCTGGATGTGAGCAAAGAGACTACAGAGAACATCAGTAGGAACAGACTTCACCAAACAAGCTGAGAACCTCTACTTAGTAGCAACAGAGGTTCTCTCTGGCAGCTCTCACAGCTGGACTGTCTCATTATTAGGGTACTGTCAAGGGGACAAGTGAGCTGAAGAGAATGCAAGAACAAGGAGGGCTATGCCATGGGACTTCCTCCCCAAGAAAGAAGGGGAAGATAGGCAACAAGAATGTCAGGCAACGGTGTTGCAAAGAGAAGGATTCATAACCAGGCTTGTGCATGACCACACAGATGCAGGCCTAAGCATGAAACTGTGAGGCTGAAGGAAGGAGAGAGGTGAAATTAAGGAAAGACATCCAGAATTACAATGCGCCAGGGAACATGGCTCAGGTCCATAAAGCATGAGAGGCATGGTCCCTCACACAAGATCACCCAAGTAACTATATGAACTATGCTGCCTGATGTGTCCAGTGGCTAGGGGGTATAAGGAAAGGGCACAGAACTTCAAGAGGGTTCTCTACATGCAGGGGGCACTGAGCCTCTCTGTATACTTCTACATATTCTCTGCACTCTTCACTGAAAACTGCAAGTCAGTGTTCTCACAGAAAACCTTTACCCATTCTGCTTGTTTGATTGAGAACATAAGGCACAGCGACCTGACAGACAGGGATCATGATGCTGGCATGGGGTGGAAAATGACTTCAAAACAAAACTTTTCTGAACTCACAAAAGCAACCATGGGGGTTTGAAGTTATGTGCCCATGAGGCTAAAGCAGCTCCACTTGGCACCAGGTCTGTGCCTCACCATGTCACACAGCAGTTTCCTGTTTGGCAACAGTGAGGTTCCCATCCAGCCCAAACACTCAACACTTAGAACCCTTTCTGGCACCCAGTCCATTGTAGAGGGGTATGTCAAGTGACTGTCACTAATAAAATATCCAGGTACTGACCTACAGCTGTAATTCAAACCATCTTGTTATCAGACTTGACAATGCAGAACTAGGAAGCTTGTTGGCTTTTTGAACTCTCTCTACTCACCATTTGAGACTCAGGAATCATACAGTTTTGAGTAATGCACACACGTCACCTCTGAACTCTGTACAAACTCAAGGACCAAATAGCTTTGGACAGCAAAAGATACCTATTTGCGTTGGATCTGTTTTATTAAAAAAGAATCTATTCTCCTGCAGTGGTTCTCAAACCACTGAGTACATCACAACCACCTACTACCCTCTCTGAGGAAATGTGGTTTCTAGGGCCCCATCTTTAGCTCTAGGGCTGGAATTCAGTAGTAGGGTACTTGCCTGGTGCATGTGAGGCCCTAGGTTCAATCACTAGTACTGCAAAAAATAAAACAAGAAGAAAATAGGGAGAAAAGGAGAGGAAAAAAGATGTCCATATTTACAGGTGGTCCATAACTCTGTACTTTTAACAAGTCTGCCCAGCGTATCTTCTGATACAGTTAGTCCAAGGAGCACATTTTGAAAATGCTGCCCTCGTCTATCCACTATCACCTGCTTTAGCATTCATGTCATAAGACTTCAGAAAGAATATGGCTCTACATGTCTCTTTTACTTCAGGAGACAGAAGCTGATAGATGAGGGGGTGAGTCAACATAGCCAAAAGACTAACTTGGAGGCTTCTCTACCTCTGTATCACAGATACCAGACATCACAGCTCACAGATCTAGCCATGATATCCCACAGAGGAAACAAAAGTACCAGCAAACTAAGGATTCTGGGCTTCTACACAGCTGCTGACACTCTATAATTAATAAACTGTGGTCCATATTAATACCCCATGGGCTACAGGGGTTCACCCAAGCTACATCCCAAACCTGTGTCTGCTTTATAGCATGTCTGAATGCTACCTTCTTTAGAAGCTAAGGTACTGGTAAGGAGACTTGATCTATACAGCATTGCCCATGTCAATTATCAACAGAAATCCACTGTCCCCCAAAAATCACAAAGAAGGTCGTTGTTTGTTTTGGCTTTTTGAAACAGGAAATGTGGTTTCTTGGGCCCCTGGTGGGGCTTGAACTCATTATGTAAATAGGTTGGCCCTGAATTCAAATGTGGCTTCACCAATGTATCATACCATCAATGCCTCATCTATCCCCCAAGTATGCCACTGGTACCTGAAAATCCACAGGAATTGGGCCATAGGGCACACTGATGTTTAAGGCTTGGACATCTTCCCGCTCCCTGATGTCCATCCAGGGGTTGTAGGCCACAGGTGGCAGGCCATCAGGGACCTGGGGATCAGGAGCCAGAGTGATGTTTTCCAAGGGATACAACTTCTGAAATTCCTAGGAGAAAAACACACAAAGCCACAAGGTTGCCACTCATTTGGCAAAAGCACAAGGGTGTGTTACATTTGCTTGGTGCTAATACTTCCCAGCTACTCACCCACCCTCACCTGCTCTCTACCTTAAGCCACTCTCATAACCCTGGGACAGCAACAAAACCCTAAAACATATTTCCTACAATGGCAGCAGCAACTGTTGTCTCCTCTCACAGACACGTACCATTCTGCTCCTGTCCCCACCTTAATCCCAACATACAAAGGCATGCTGAACCACTGTGGGCTCCCAAAATCTCCCTCAGGTTCTGTGAGTCATCAGAACTCACAGGACTTAGCAGAAGGTCCCATTTGAAGTGATCCTTTATTAGAATGAAAATATTTCACACCCAATTAGCAAAGAAAAAACCAACATGAGGGCAAATCTGGAAACCAAGGATGAACTTCAGAGTCCTTCCCAGGGATTTCAAACAGGAGGCACTTATTGCCTCAGCTAGTTGAAAGACCATGCATATAAAATGCTACCAATCAGTGAGGCTCATTAAAACTGCAGCACCCAGTTTTGACATGGGGTTCATCACGTAGGCACTCTGCCTGGACCAGAACGAAATTTCAGGCTTCCATAAGGAAAGCGGTGATTCAGCATATACCATGTCTGGAAAAAACACTTAGGCACTCCCAAATCAAAGTTCCCAGTTGCCAGACAAGGGCCAGCCTTATAAGCGGACTTCTGAAAGTCTTGCAGCTAGGCAGCTTTGCAAACTCTTCTGCAAAGGAGCAGAAGACACCAACACCAGCACAGCCACAAGACTCTTCCAAAGAGCCTGAGAGCTCCTGCTGTGAGGGCAAGATCCTCAAAGCTCATCAAACAAGCTGCCTACATCAAAGAGCATACTTCCAGGCCTGTCCTCTCATTTATAACCAAGGGACATTCTTTTTAAAGTGAAAAGGCTGGACTGCTCAGGCCTAGGAAAAAAGAAAACAGAGAAACCCTGGAAATTATTAAAAAGGACTACAAATTCTAAATGAGAATAGAGAAGCATAGGATTTGAAGTACCAACAAACAATTCTGTCTCCTGTACCTACAGGGCCTGGTATGACAATCTTTGAGAGGAATGACACTTGGGGAAGAGGGCTTCATGTTTCCTGAGATTTTTCTCCCAAAGACAATCCCTTTGGGCTTCTGGTAGCTTTGCCTCACCTCTGTATGAGATCATTATACAATCCCATCAACACGATAGGTTCAAACAAAAGAAATCAAACCTCCAGTGGAGGAAAGTGGAAAGCTAAACATTTATTACAAGATTCTTACTTGCTGGGCGTTGGTGGCGCATGCCTTTAATCCCAGCACTCGGGAGGCAGAGGCAGGTGGATCTCTGTGAGTTCGAGACCAGCCTGGTCTACAAGAGCTAGTTCCAGGACAGCCTCCAAAGCCACAGAGAAACTCTGTCTCAAAATACCAAAGAAAAGATTACTTTTTGGCCTTGAACTTTGACTACCATCATTCCAAATACACTAGTACATTAAGCATCCTGGTGGGTTATGACCACATTTGATACACAAATGCTTCTCTGGTAACTAAGTAACACAGATAATAGTGGCTATGTTGGATCAGCCTTAAAGCATCTTATCACCTTGGGGTATCTGAAGGGGATGTGTGGCTTATGATACCCAACCGCCAGGAAGAAAGGACTGGCTGAAGTTTTCATCTTTTCCAACAACCGAATAGCTTCCTCGGTGCTCTGTTTGTCAGGCAAGGTGCCCTCAGGCACATCTGCCACATCCACAGGACAAAGCAGGTTGGCATGGAGTTTTCCATCTTGTCCCCTACATGTCTTTCAAAACAAAATGCATAACATCAGTCTATTAAATACAAGAAACAGAAATCCTGACAGTCATACACTGAAGAAACAGCACTATCACCAGCCTTCAAACTGTTAAGTCACTCAGAATGAACATTGCACATTGGATGCAGAACTAAACCACAAGTGTTTGTCCTTTCTGCAGACAGGGGCAAAAGCACACATAATATTCAGTGTATTCCTGTGAACTCTGTCTCCAGGACATAACTAATTCAAGGGTACCCAAATAAACTATCAAAACTACAACATTTACAATTCTTACCTCAATACTTCATCCAGAGTGACCATCAAAAATCCATTAAGTGAACTGGATTGCTTAAGGTTAAGGTTTTACTTTATTATTTGTGTATGTGCATGTATATGTGTTTGTATATTTGCCAGTGCACATTTGGGGGGTATAGTATATGTGAAAAGTGGAAGTCAACCTCAATTGCTCTTCAGAAGCTATCCACCTTGGTTTTTGAGGCAGGATCTCTAACTGAGACATTAGGCTAGGCTAGCTGAGCAGCAAGCTCCAGGGACCTGCTTGTGTTACCAGTATTGGCTTCTTGATGGGTGATAGGGATTGACTTTGAGGTTTCATGCTTCTAGGGCAAGCACATTACTAAGCCATGCCCTTGGCCCAACATAAGGTTTCAGACTGAGAAACCCACCAGCCACGTGTGGTGGCCCATGCCTCTAATTCCAGCATCATGACAGAAGCTGATGCAGGAAGATTCCAAGACTGAGACCAGCCTGGGCTTCAGAGCAAGTTCCAAAACAGCCTGCCTGGACTATTTACTAAAACATTATAAAAAATAATCTCACCAAAAAGTAATCATTGTGCCCCTCAAACCAGTTGCTAAAGATCCTAATGCTTGTTTCTATAAGCCATTACAACAAGCAAAAGCTGCAATCATAGCATAACCAGTTTAAAGGAAAATACAATATATTTAATAGTCCAATTGCTAGGCAAGAAGATAGTGCTTCCTCAACCTTTGTTCAGACTTACCTTAGTGTTTTCATACTTCTCTGATGATGGATGATAAGGTGGAAAAGACCAACTATATGGAGAATCATCACTGTGATTGGAAGATATACCTTGAATTGGGGAAAAGAAAGCTGCTGAATAAAATGTAAAAGGTCTTTCAGTACCCCACTGCCAAATTAAAATTGAACAACTACATAAGTAGCTCCTCCCCTCTTTGGGCCTCAGTTTCCTCACCTATAAAATCAAGAGCTCAAGCTAGATGACACATTCCATTAAGAACAACTGTCCAGGTCATCATTTTAGTACTGAGCATCTAACTTCCCAATTCTTAAGCCTCAAAAGGACAAGATCAGCTAGCCTGGCATATCAGTGCAATTCCTTGGAGCCCAAGCTAGAGACTCTTACCCACCCGAAGGAAGCAACAACCACCCAAGGAGAAAACAAAAGCACTGTCAACACCATGAGACCAACTAGCACAGAGAGGCTGAGAGAAGGCTGATGCCCTGAACAGTGCCAATCCAATAGATGAATGAGCCAAGACTCAAACCCATGCCTTCAGCACCAAGATCAAGTATAAAATTGTGAAGCATAACTCCCACCCAAACTTAGTAGTGTACCAAGCTTTGTACACTTGGTACTTACTTTGGTACTTACTGTGTACCAAGCAAAATAAATAGCATATGAAACCAAGAAAAAACTGGCAGCTGTCAAGAGTACAGAAGTGACTTGGAAGTAAGGGTTTGTAAGACACAGAGAACCTCACCTCTACATCTACTCATGAGGAAGGAGATCAATGAACACACAGGCCTTGTTTGCTTTCCCTTCCCAAATTATAATCTCCTCTAGAAAATACTCACTTCCTTCCAGGTGCCCTCAGGCAAGTGTTCTAAGTACCAAACTAGGAAGTTTAACTGTTATTCAGTTTTAGGCCATGCAAAATGATTTCTGATACATTTATTTTCAAAACTGAGCAGGGCATAGTCTACCTGACTGCTATTCTCAACCTAGACTGCCAGCTATGTTTCAGAAGAAAGCACCAAAGCCTGTAAGGTATAATCAATGTGCACAGGGTTCTTGGATATACTCAAGCTGTTTCCTTCAGTGATGAGCATCACCATGGACCTAGCACTCTGAACACACTTCACGCTCATTTATTCCCTCACTGACATGCTCCCTGGTAGGGCATCAAAACAACTACAGCCCCAGTTTCCCAGATAAGAAATGTGAGTCTCAAAGGTAACTGCAAGGCTAAGTAGTGGCAGCACTGAGACCACAGCCAGCTGCCCATATCCCTGATGCTATTGCCCAATGTAGTCTAATCTGCTTCCAGAGATGTTCACAGTAGAAAAAAGCCAAAAGGACCTGAATGATATGCCAGACTACTGTGCTGTCATTAAAAGGGGATTTTTTTCTTTAAATTAGAAACTAGCTCGTTTTACATGTCAATCCCAGTTCCCTCTCCTTCCCCTCCTCCCCTGCTCCCCCCCGATCCCCATCCCACCCCCTTTCTGCTCCCCAAGGAGGGTGAAGCCTTCCATGGGGTGGGTCTTCAAAGTCTGTCATAATCCTTTGGGATAGGGTCTAGACCCTCCCCCATGTGTCTAGGCTGAGAGAGTATCCCTCTATGTGGAATGGGCTCCCAAAGTCCATCCCTATGCTAAGGATAAATACTGAGCCACTACAAGAGGCCCCATAGATTGTCCAGACCTCCAAACTGACTTCCTCTAAAATGGGATTTTTTATTTTTGGAACATAATATAATAGGAAAATATTTAGTCTCACTCAGGGTATAAAACTATGAGCACTACGTAACTACGAATCAGAAAAACACTACATCCAGAAAACAGGAATACGTCAAATGCAGCTTTTCTCAGGGTGGTGCAATTACACATTCTATTCTTTGTTTTCTTTTCATTCTTGAAATCAAGTGATCCTTCTAACATGATTTAAAAATAGTATGTATGCTTCATTTAGGAAGTAAGCAACCAGTTTATTCTGCAGTATTCAAAGTCAGAATATGACACCCAAATTTACTTCCTCTTTCTGACATTACTCACAGTGAAAGCATTAGCTTCCACCAAGCTGTAGCTCTTAACTGCACATGCAGTCTATACAGTACCTCTGGACACTCAAGGTCTTCACATGTAGTTGCCTCACACCCAACTTTACAGACAGGCACCGTGCAAGGCACAGGGGCAGGTCCAAAGCTGAACTGACACAACTGCTTCTCCAACAGCCAGTTCACTTCCACAACACAAGCAGCAGGATAAGTCCCAAAGCATCACTTGCAACTTGTAAAGGAAAGCAGCTCCTTTCTATTCTTGTCCATTTGGACTGTGAACATGAAACTAGGTTAAAGAATTGTTTTGTTTTCTTGCTGCTGTTCTTTCATAGAACAGCAGCAATGAACAACAAGTTGCACACCCTGTCAGGTAAGATCACTACAAAGATAGTCCCAACCCAGCAAAAGATTTCAGTATTCAGGCACAGAAATGGAGAGCCCAGGCTTTGGTAATTGAGCAGTACCAGGGTGAAAGACTTTTCCAACCGACATGGTCACGTAGCCATTCTCCTTGAAGTACTGGGGGATGGTGGAAAAATTGCCCGAGTGTACCCTCCAGTAGGAGTTGAAGTCATACAGGCGGGTGG